CCATGCAATCATTTTGTAGGAAAGAAACCTATCCATCAAATTATTTTATAGAAAACAAACCTCTCCATCCAATCATTTTGTAAGAACAAAACCAATCCATCCAATCATTTTATAGGAAAGAAACCAATCCATCCAATTATTTTGTAGGAAGAAAACCAATCCATCCAATCATTTTATACAAGTAATTTAATTGCAAAACACGATTGCTAATAACATATTTTATAGATACAACTGCTAAGTTTTATTGAACTGGTCTGGCATCTATGTGAAATCTTGTTGATTGAAAAATTACCAGGTCACTACGCGTCCCTTTGCTAATCCTTTTTTCATGTGCTTCAGATATTAACTGATTCACTATTTAGGCGGTGTTGTATTGCAACATTTACTTGATTGGGTAAAATGGCACTGTCATACGGCTGACAACGTCACAAGGGAAGTTGCTGAATCAGCAAACCCATCAGAATGTCACAATTATTGGCATGCCGTATGTTGACTAAATATTCATTGTTATGTACGTAAACGTAATGAAAACAGGCAAAGTCAAGGCAGAAAAAAATTTCTTTCTCTTCTAGATTTATTATTTACTGTTTCAAGGACGCATAAAAGAAGCAAGAGAATTGTTATCACAACATCACGACCGAAATCCAGATGGACAAGATGTTCGTAGTCTTTCGAAAATATATATTTAACTTTCTCGCGAGGGAAGGGAAAAAGTTGAACGCGTAACTTAACCGTGAAGATGAAATTAAAATAGCCGAAATCGTTTTAAAGATTGCAAATACCATGGCGAATGGTAAAGATTGCAATTACCATGGTGAATGGTAAAGATTGCAAACACCATGTTGAATGATTTTCAGATTTGCAACCACGACAAAGTCTCTATTCTATTAAAAGCCGAAATCTTTTTTGCTCGTGCTGAAATTGATGCGAAATGAACACGGGTCGAATTATTGTTTCAGGAATTTGCGATAGTGGATGATCTCTTAAAGAAAATGCCATCGTTTAAGGTGCCTGAATAACAACATCAATAAAATCTAATCAGGTTTTCGGTTAAATCACACAGAATTATGAGCATCAATATCTGAAATGCCTATTTTCAGTCATTCGTTGGCCATTCTGAGTTTGCGATGAAGTGGAACTATTGGAGGCAGGAATGCCAGAGTAAATGTTCTTTTGGTGATTTGGCGTCTTATCCACAATTACAATTGATTGCACAGGTACACACGGGTACATATAGTCGAATCAACCATTGATTACATAGGTACACACGGGTACATATAGTTGAGTTAACCATTGCGTCATCATTCTTAGCAAACCCTTTTTCCACATTTCTTTTAAGATTCTTTGCGGAGATAACAAGGCATTTGTTGAAGTAAAGTAAGGAATGTAGTCATACCATCTGCGCGGTATTTTGTTAGATTTAAACGCACTTTCTTCTATTGTATAGAGGCATCTGTGAGGATCTATCTTGGTATGAATTAATGGTTGCAAAGCTCCTGTACTCTAACCCTAACATCAAATCGTACGAGCTACAATATCATACAAAGGTATTTTTGATTCTACCCTGGTTTAGGAATGTATATTGCATGTTCGAGCGAGCAAGCATTCCACCATTTCAATGAGGTAGTACGAAAGAATCATGTCAGATCAGGGGTGGAAAAAGTATCGGAACTTGGGAACGTAGTTTCCAGAAATCTTATAGAGTTGAGATTTTGGCAGAAAATCAATCGGCAGGAACCATTACAACATTTCTAAATCGGTTTATTTAACGTCATAATTGATCATATTTCAAAGACATCATCAGACACTATTATTCTGATGATGTCTTTGAATAAAGACGAAATATTACACCATCTTTTGTTTCAAAACTGTTGTATTATCTTTAATATCAAGAAAACGAGATTTCCGTTTTCGGAATTTGTTTTATTTTGTTTTACTTACAATTGTCTGCTTGTCCTGGTCATCAGATAAGTTGTGACATATTTTTATCATTTGTAGTTTTGTATCGATCTTTGTGGAGGAAAGAATTCCCTTCAACTGTGGCACATGATTCTCTTAGCAGCAATCGAGTTTGATGTTCATGCTGTCATCAAGATAAGCAGGTAGGGTCAACACAATAAATTTTCAATTTTTGGTCGTTCCATTTGACTTCTCAACCGATTATTGATGTGTATCGTGTTTGAAGCGAATGTTTTGGTAATTGGTGGTTCGTTGCTCATATCGTGGATTTGTTTCACCACTGTAATCAACTGGATAACCATCAAACACAGTAAGAATGTACCACTTGTTTTCATACCAAATACAGTGAATCCTTCGACATCCCCCGAGCATTCTCTTAACATTTACTTTCATGGTTTTAGCAAAGCGTTGATTATACGTAACTCTTCACTTGCAAGTTGAGGCTAGGCGGAGTGCGTATAATTACCTATAGTTATTTTAACTAAATTGATTCAATTTAATCATCTCAACGATAAAATGCTCAGAGAACGAAGTCCTTTGTAAATTAGAAGATTTAGTTTAAGTGTGGATCTAGGATGATTTTATAGGAGGATGGGAGGTGGTGGTGTGGGCAGGTGCTCTAGTTTTTATAAGATGCCGTTTGCTCAGTCTAGTTTGTATTTGGTGGCTCCTTTGAGGGTGTCGTTATGTCATTCACATGTCTGACTTTTTTGGGTTTGGCTTAAGCCCTGGAAAATGTGTAGTTTGACAGTTGTTTTGCTTGCTTGATGTATTGATATTTCGTTGGGGAATTCTCCTTGCACACTTCTAGCCAAGGCTAGGGGGTGCAAACCCCCCTGCATCCCTCCCATAAATCCATCCCTGATATTTTTTTAACGTGAGTAATATTCGTGTAGAGGTGTGTATCAAGTTGACTTGAGGGAATTTCTTCTCTTGGAATATGCGTCAAGTCTAATGTCGCACGAAAGGTGATTACTATACAATGAAGTTATAATAGTCAACACAGTAGCCAATCACCAATCAACTCTCATAACATATCTCTTCGTAGTCTTTGGCAAGTTGCTTCGGAATACTTTCTAAGCTGTCCAACCAGTGGAAGGTGAGCGCTTGTTGTTGATAGAACGCATGCGCAGTGAGTATAAAAGTCCGTTCTTTTGAAACAGGCATTACTTGGAAGAGTACATCGAGAGAATACCAATAGAGACGGAAACAAAAGCTTTCAAAGTTTTACATCTTTGTCAAAAAAATGACTTTTCAAAACAAGGTGCAGCTCTCCTCGTGGACACATAAGCGATATTACATAAAGTATTGAAAACGATAGAACCTGTCTTTGTTTCTTCAGCTTTAGGCATATGCAGAGAAATGGCCATGACTGCATATCATAATCACAGATTAGGATCAGCTTTATCATGGGCGATTAAAGCCAAGGTAAAAACTCTTCCGGAGCATCAGAATTATTGTAAGAGAAAATACCATTGCAAGTAGAAATGATAAAGATATCATGTCTATTTAGGATCCAGCATTCGCTTCCTTTATTGCAGAAAGGTATGTAAATCGTTTTTTTTTCACCCCAAGCACAATTTCTGCATTCAAAGTAATCCCTGTTTTGTTCATAGGTTTATGGACGATTATTTCGACAAAGGAGAATTTCCAAGTTTAGATCTCATCGATAATTTAGGATCGTCAATGCTTCTTTGCGACAAATTAACCTTTCTCGGTACTGCTCGCTTTAAAACATCCGTTAAGATTAATTTAAAACCATCGTTTCTACGACTCTCGCTTACATTAATCAACTGAGGCAGCAAGTCGTTTTGTCAAATTGAAACGAGCTAATTTTTATGGCCGATGGAGCGATGTCTTCGTTAACCTTAGATCATTTTACTCATCACACCGAACTTGCCGTGTATATCTCAGTTATACTTAAAATATCCTTATTCTGAGCCATAAATGTCGTACACAAGGTTGAAGTGTTCACCTTAAGTTGACATTTCCAAAGGGCAATATGTGAACGACAGTTTCCCGGGTGGGGGTGGGATGGGTTAGTACACAGCGAGCAATATGTATACGACAGTTTCCCGGGTGGGGGTGGGTGAGTGGGTAAAAAGCGAGCAAAATGTATACGACAGTTTCCCGGGTGGGGGTGGGTGAGTTGGTACAAAGCTAAGGTAAAATGTTTCTTATATCATCAGGGAAATATCGTGAATTTCATATAATGTATGGTAACGGAGATTTCAGTGATGCTGCCGGCCTTTTGGTGTCTTTATTAACCTCACAACTTGCTCCAAAACGGTAATAACTCAAAGATTCACATTCAAAAGATAATGGAAAGCAACGTATGGAGAACAGTGTTTTGTTTTTTAGAATTTGGTTGTCTTTGTTGACGGACGCCTTGCCCCTTTTGGAGCATGACCAGGTTTGGGAGGAGAATCATGACTATATAATGCCTTGTCGTTGCTGCATTTATGTCAAATTTCGTTCTTTCAGATCGTTTTCACAACTTCTCAAACTCACGAGCTGATGCGGTGTTTGGAAGAGCTCAGACTATCCTTTAGGTCAGCGGACTATCTTGGAAATACACAGTCGACAATTAATGACGAGATGGAGAAAGGTAGCTTGGAGTCGTCATGGAGTGACAAGGTTATTTATTTTCCCATTTGCTCAACAAACAATCCATCCTGGCAATTCTTACTTATTTTATTGCCTTTTCTAGATTTCAGAGCAAGATAAATTAGGTCTATTTCAACCGATTCGCCTCGCTCTGGCAAGAAATCTTGCTCGCTCTCTTTTGGTGGATGACTGATGAAAAATAACATTTCAGCACTATTTGTTCCATCATTGTTTACTGTGTAAAACAATTCGTTGTCATTTTGCATTTTATAATATTATAAATAGTAAAAGCATGTAAAATGAATAAATCTCTTTTCTGGAACACTTTATGTAAGAGACATGAAGTATCTCCCACATTCATTCAAGATGGCATCCGATGAGCGAAATACCAAATTATCTTATGTTTCATGCTAATTACGTTTTCCTAAAAACAGTCTAGGTGCTGTGCTTTTAAAACATGAGATACGCTCAACTTGTGATAGGACCTGCAGGAAGCGGAAAATCCACGTATTGCAACACCATAGTTCGACATTGTGAGAACATTGGAAGGGTTGTTCACGTGATTAATTTAGATCCCGCAGCCGAATATTTCGACTATCCACTTTACGTAGATACTAGGGAACTTGTCCAACTTGAAGATGTCATGGAGGCAGATGACCTAAAGCTTGGACCCAATGGTGGATTAGTGTTTTGTATGGAATATTTGATCAAGAACATTGAATGGTTAGAGGAACAGTTAGGTTACACTGAAGAGGATTATTTCATCTTTGATTGCCCAGGTATCCCTGCCTATCCATAATTACCTCTTATTGTTGATAACCTCTTAAACAGACCTCTCAATTTGGATGTCTGATTACCCTAAGCCCTGTCACCACAATTCATGTTATCTTATCTCCAGGTCAAATAGAACTTTACTCTCATATACCGATAATGAGACAGTTTGTTGACACTTTACAACAATGGGATATCAGGGTGTGTGCCGTGTTTCTTGTGGATTCAAAGTTTATGGTCAACACAAGCATGTTTTTTTCTGGTGTACTGGCAGCACTTTCCGCAATGGTGCAGTTGGAGGTACCTCATATTAATGTTATGTCGAAGATGGACCTGCTTAGCAAGGACCAAGCAGAAAATATTGAAAGGTTATAGTCTTGTTTTCTCATGATAGAAACTGTATAAACCTCCGTTCTTTGAGATAAACATGTGAAAAAAAGTATAAAACTTCAAGAAGCAAAAGTAAAAATGCATTTCATCACGTAAACACATGATTAAACAAATAGCTATACACCTCTCAACACACCTAATGAACCAACAGGCACATGTCCCAAAAACACTTGATTAACCAAGCGATACATGTCTCCAACACACTATTATTAAGTATATTTTTCAAGTCCCAAAGTTCGTATGCATTGTCTTAATAAACTCTTTAATTCCTTGTAGATTTCTTGACCCAAATCCAAAAGTCATAATGGATGAAAGTGGAGCATGGCAGAACAAAAAAGCATGAAAAACTAAACAATGCCCTTGCTGATGTCATTGAAAACTTCAGTATGGTTCAGTTTATACCATTGAATAGGACAGAGGAAGAGTCAATTGAACATTTGCTTGTACAAATTGATAATGCCATACAATATGGAGAAGATTTGGAAGTTAAAGAAAAAGATACATTTGATTACGAAGACAAAGAATTTTCGTGGAATAATGATGAAAATTGATTTTCAGTGATTTTGCACCTTTGGAATAGTCACATAACAGTGAGGGGGTGTTGGTTTTTCAAACCTCCTCCCTCATCTTCCCCACTTTCAATATTGTGTGGTAAAAGACCGGCATTATCATGGTATAATCATATTAACTTCATAGTAGAGAATTTTTTCTGACATTCAAAATGTCTCATATAGTTCTTTCCATACATCTTTTCACTAGCAAGTTTTAAGACACCTTCCACACACGCATTATGCTATCTTACTTTCATTCTTCACCATTCTTGGTTTTCTTTTCATATACAAAATACTGAAATTTGACTCCATTTTCTTCTTGCATTTCAGAAGGAACAGTTGGATCACTACAGGAATGCATGAAAAATCTAAATCTAGTACCTTTAACATATCATGGGACCTTTCACGCTTCATGCCAAGAACTGTCTTAATAACACTTACTTTACAAGTTTAAAATTTCTTTGTCAAATTCGATAAAATACATCACATTCTACATCAATATGAACTTCAGTCAAGTATATTCTATGAAGATTGTCTGATACCATTGCTTCCTGAGAGGAATAAAATGAATGAAGTGATGCTATCACGCCCTTTACTGTTTTTATAGTACAGGCAATGACCATCTACATGAGCTATTCCTAATGTAAAGAATTCAATATGACAGATAAAGTTGAGCTGCTATTTGTGTCCCCAATTCACCTTACAGATTATCTAATGTTGTTTCATTGAATCTTAGTGGAAACTCTTATGAAAGAAAGCGAAAAAAGTCTAATTATCTCACTGCAGTCAATGAAAAAAACAGGCCATAACTACATATTGTATACATAATGTATATAACTAGGAAGGTGCTCACAGGAGCCCAGACCAATTAACTATTGTACACATGGAATTTTTCAGCTGGAGAGCCCTTGTATACAAATCCATTCAATTGATAAAGTTTGGTCGCTGACACAAGCCTCCTGATAATTTTCAGCACAGATACATGCTCATCCTAGCATGCACATTGGAACTTCTTGACTTTTTACCCTGGGTAGGATGATGTGGGAAATCTAGTGCCTAGGGGAAAAATCTCTCCACAGATACAGACAGGAAGTTCAACATATAAGTGAAAACTTAATATGTGAGAAATACTTAATTGGCTAGCAGGCTAACACTTACTAGGAAATCAATGATTTACCTTATAAACACCATGTCCTCAACAATAAACAAACTTTCTATGCTTTCCACATAGGGAGCTTGAGATAAAGCATCTAATGCAGTTGCCAAGTCTGGATAGAGCAAAACATTGTCTGGAGCTTCACTGAATCACACAAAAATATTAGGAGATAAGTTATCATGCCTTTTTATATACTCAATTGCATTGCCAGCATGCAAATTTGGTCCTGATAAGTAAATTTTTCTGTGTTCGTAATTATGAAAACAATAGATTTCTAAATGAATCATGATGTACCATTAAAATTTACACAACAGAACCAAAACCAACAAGATATGCTGTTGTGTTTACCTCATTGTTTTGCTTAGTATGACATTCAATCGGCCTGCCATTGGTCGATATTTTGTTGGAATACTTTCCCAAGTCTTTCGACCCATAATTACTGCATTTTGTTTTCCTGCATACAAACCATAATATGGTATCAATTATCACAGGAAGTAGTAAAATTTGATTCAAAATTTCATAAAAGATATGATTTAGACATGAAAGATAGGGTTTCGATAAGAGGAAGAAGTATGGGAAGAGATGTAGCGTTGTGAAGGAAATAGGGTGAAAGATAGGGATGTGAAGGAAAGATGGGGTTGTGGAAAGATGTAGTAATGTAAAGGAGAGATGTAGCTACCTTCATGCTTGACATCCGTTGTAATTCTTGAAAAATACTTCATCTCCGATCTAAATACGTACAATTACAATAATCCAATATAAGTCATTAACACTACAAAAACAATCGACAATCATTTTCATACTTTAAACGCCAAGGTAATTTTCCATCTTTCCAATTCCTCTATTTTTGCTGGACATTGCAGCAATGCAACTAATTTTCTTCCCGCCATTTTATTTCAAGCAGAATTTGAGTTAATTCAAATTATTTAAGTTATCGTTAATTTATGTAGTGCATAATTTATGTATAGGAGAGAGAACGATAATGAGAGAACAATAGAATAGAACAATGGCAAAATAAGTAAAATGTTTTTGACGTCAGGTAGGAGTTTCCCAATAGTAAAATCAGCTATTGTCAGTTTACGCGAGAGTAAAACAGCTAAAAATGAAGTAAAATCACATAAGCTAACTCTTGCTAACATAATCTGTCAATATGATCGTAGGAATTGGTGACTGACAGTCATCTCGTTGGTTCTCACAAGACATTTTCCCCCGATCAAAAGTAGCCGCAATTGAACTCGGGAAATGTTCTCCATCAGAGGATGATGTCACGTTTTCTACTGATGATGACGTAATGCTTCGAAATACTGCAGGCACAATGATGGCATCATCGAAATTCTCGTCTTTCCCGGAATTGTCACATGACTCGTGACTTCCACTCGCGGTGGAGGATGGCCATGCCAAGGCAATACTAATCGCCTTTCTTGAAGAACTGGGTGAACGAGAAGGACTTTCTGTTTTACCGTCGGTAACATTCGAGATGATAAACGAATGAGCTGGAGGTAGACTCATTGATCGCAAACGATCGGGGACCAACAATTCATTCGAAGCTTCCATATTCTGGTTTGTCTCGGAGTCGTCAAACATTTCGTCATTCGATTTGTCAGAATGGTCGAATGATGAATTTGAAAACATATCATCCATTGTCAATGCAAGGTGTTGTTCTCTGCGAAAGGATCCGTTTCTTCTCTTTGTCGATCCAAGCAAACTTCCCGTACTGCGACGACGAAACAAAAGACCAGAAAAATCATATTCTAACAATTTCAGATTTTCCTCGTTAACTTTCATCTCCGATTTTAATTCCTTTCCCACGCTCTCAACCTTGAAAACTGTCTTGCATAAATCACAGAGATGAATGTTTTCTTGCAAATCAGCGAGGTCGCTGGATGGAGTAGGATTTGCGGTCAGTTTGGGCGACTCTACGTTACTATTCATATCAATACTCAAGGTATGCTTTGGTGCATCGTGGTAAACTGGAAGGTTTAGGATGAGCAAAGGAAGAATCTTGATCTCTTGTGGAGAACTCTTAAATTTGGTGCGCTGTACATTTGTCTTGACTTTGAAAATTCCTTTCGACTTTTGATCGGCGATTTTGATCTCTTCGTCTGCTTGTTCTTATTCTTCTCTCGTCTTTCACCTTGACCTTCTACTTTATCGAGCCCTCTTGTTCCACGCGTCTCCCACGACATACGATCTTGCTTTCTTACATGATTCAACCATTTTTTCAACAGCATGCAGATCTTTTTGCTGAATTGCATAGTCAAAAGCACATTTACCACTGCGGTCCTGCGACCAGGGATCAGCGCCTGCGTTGAGAAGATCATAGAAGATTGATAGCCGCGTTATCACAGAATATATCAATGGTGTTCTTCCACTTGCGTCAGCAGCATTTACATCAGCTCCAGCAGTAATAAGATACTTAAAAACCTTTCTATAAGTTTCGCTACGACTATGGGATGCGTTTCTCAAAGACGAGGATAAGATCAACAAAGGAGTTTGTTCATTACTGTTACGGCTATCCACATGAACGCCCCCTTCGATCAGTAATCGAACCAGACGAAATTTATTCATTCTAACCGCGTTGAAAAGTTTATCTTCTGGCTTACTGACGCACTCTTTTGTAACTGTCGACATCGTTTAGTTGTGATGTCCTACGAAAAAAAAGTATTATGATAAAATCCTGCACTTTATCACCCATAAAAATTGATAAAAATCAGCAATTTTACATCGAGAGCAGGGAGAAGAGACGGCAACGACGGTAGCTATGAGCTGCAAAATTCTTCGCCCTAAATGTTTAAACATTTTTCGCACGTGCGAGTTTAATTTCGATTTCAAAGAAAACAAATATACATTTGTTTTCATCATAAAATGAAACAGCAATATTAACATTAATGCATGAATGCATATTATGCAAACTGTAAACATGATTAAAAATTGTTTTAACGAGGAAAACGCGACGATTTTCTTCATGCAAACGACTTCTTGCAACGAATGGCAGGTGTGTGTATTTAGACTCGTGTTTTCCCACACGGAGCGTTTCGTTTGACTCACAGAGAGATCGCATGGCAAAACTTTTAATATCTTGTTGGAGACAATTCACTAAAACTTCGCTCACCCAGTGTTTCAATCAACTCCAGTCGACAAAAAGACAATGAATGAAAACAACTATCGAAACATAGGAAAACAAACTCCACAACTAACCATGCGCCTAATGCGCCACATATCAAAATGATGATCATGAAATTTTATTGAAATTATTTTTTGAGATGCATTAAAACATCGAAATTATTTTCTGATACATCCAAAATACAAACGCCCGAAACGTACAACCATTTCATAAGGAAATGCAGTTTGAGAGAGGAAAATATATGCGAAAAACACTTAGGTATAATAGCTTGTTGGATTAGGCAAGCAATCTGTTTAAGTCTGTTGTCGTATAAAACCCCAAGAAAAAAAACATTGAGTTGCTTTAGGTGAAATACTATTTACCTTATACAAAGCCACGATCCGCTATCTGTATATATTCTTGATTGAGAAAATCTCCTGCTGCAAAAGTATAAATTGTTATTAAAAGGACGAACACATTTGGCCTCAGAAAGACCTTAACAATTTATAGACGATCAAGCGAACTCAAAAACAAATTCAAAATAACTGCTATTAAAATTGCCTCTTTTAGACCATATGAATATATGAAATGTTATACATACACAAAAGCTTTCGAGAATAAATCTTTAGACCTGACTATCATATAAAATATGCATCAATGAGACTATACTGCTGAACCTTTTCTTCCAAACTGAAATTCCTCCTTCTTCAAAACTTGCGTTCACGTTTCAGTAGATACATACAAGAAGAAAAAAGCAAGTTTTCCGAGAATTCCTTTGAATTAACTAATCATGCATTGATCGTAAACGAATGTTCCAAATTTCCAACATGAACTGTGTTTTGGAGCATTTGCATATCATGAAATGAGCTCGACACTATATGCATAACTCAAAACTCCCACACAAAAACATGCATAAAGTAAAATATTAGCACGCAAACAGTGAACGCGGCTGTCCTTTAATAAGCAAACACATCTGTTAATCCTACAGTTAAGTCTGAAACACTTCTTCCTAGGCCATCTTTATTTTAAACCTTTCGAAAGAATCGAAAATCGAAGGAGCGGAGGAAAGACTCGAAGAGAATTATTCCGTTGTACTATAAATACAGCGACATTTTTATCAATAGAAATTAACTTGATGACAAAAGGCATCAGAAGAAAAAAAAATTCTCATATCCTCACGAGAGTGGGAAGAAATTCCAAGCGATAACCGAACGATAAAAATCTGTCATTTTGAAAAACAGTACATAAAGTTGACGAGCGATCCAAGAATATGAAAATTCATAGCTTTATCTCGGGACAAGTTTTATAATCTCTCCAGCGAAATATTGTGTAGTAATAAGTTTCATACTGCCATAGTATATGCACCTACTTGTGAGGACTGAAGAGCTGCGTTTCCTCTGCTATTGCGTACGCATGTATGCCCTTTGGTGGTACGTATGGCAAACTTCTGAAGGACTTGAAGACTTGAAAAACAATGCTATCCAGGAAATTATGTTTGATGAGATGGATAGAGGTGAACAAACAGGAATCACTAGATAGAGGTGGATTGACTGGGGGGTGCATAAGGGTGTACACCCCTCCTAACCTTGGTTAGAGGGGACCCAAAGAGGGGTGTCAATATACCAACAAATTTTTATATGCGCATTTAATATAAACGACAAGTTTCTTGAAATAGACATGTTTCGACATCTCATGATGCCATCGTCAGTATGAGTGAAATAATAAGTGATACATGGTTTATATAAAGTCACTTATTATTTCACTTATACTGAAGATGGCATCATGAGATGTCGAAACATGTCTATTTTCAAAACTTGTCTTTATATTAATTTTCATAATTTCATGGCTTCAGCTTCGTCAAGAGAGCCCCCATGATAAATTTAGTTCTACAGCAATGCAGAAAGTCGTCAACTAACGAGTAAAAACTTAATAATATAATAGCGAAACAAGAATCATAACAAGGCATTGACGAGATGATAAAATGAAAAATAATTATAATTATCGATTTCAAATTGTGCGTTTCACTGACATAAACTTTTGAAAAAAAAACATTCTTCATTAGAATGACAGCGAAAATAACTTGCTATAAGATAATCATGGACAGTTTGCTAACCAAAAGGGGGGAGGGAGTTAAATCGGATGAAAATTATATCCCCCCTGAACTTTCAATTTTGTTATATAATTAAAATTAAAGCACGTTGACTCATCACAATATGTTCATCATACGATTTTAGGAAATGAAAAGTTGTTTTCAGCGTGACCAGAATACGTGACAATGGAGAATGGATTCTGACAGTGAAACTATTTGAGATGATTGCGGAGGAAAACATTGTTTTGTACTAAATCTCTCGAAAAAATCTTCGTTTACATGTGGTCTAAAGTATTGCTAATTATATAGAAAATCGGAACAAACGCATAATAAAATTGGTGATGGAATTTTTTAACGGCAAAATGATAAACTATTGATTAAATACTTACTACTACAGCAAAGCAAAAACATTCAATTAAATACTTACTACTACAGCAAAAGCAAAAACATTCAGCACAATCTAATGTTTTAGCTACTTCAGGCCAATCCAACAAACGATTTTAGACGTCTATTTAATATTAAACTTTGCAATGCATACACTCAATTCACTCATAACTAATCATTACGCTAAGAAACCCCAATCGTAATATGTTGAATTTGAGCCGCAGAAAATAATCAAATATTAGGTAAGCCACAAATTTCAATTATCATTAATATTCATAGATCTTAATCTTAACTGATTCCTCGCAAGCGACATACTTAAATTTCATGAATGATGAGCACAGATTAACGCGTTGGAGCTCGCAACACGGTATATTTATGATGAGCACAGAGATTAACGCGTTGGAGCTCGCAACACGGTATGAAATACATGATGAGCACAGAGATTAACGCGTTGGAGCTCGCAACACGGTATGAAATACATGATGAGCACAGAGATTAAAGCGTTGGAGCTCGCAACACGGTATGAAATACATGATGAGCACAGAGATTAACGCGTTGGAGCTCGCAACACGGTATGAAATACATGATGAGCACAGAGATTAAAGCGTTGGAGCTCGCAACACGGTATGAAATACATGATGAGCACAGAGATTAACGCGTTGGAGCTCGCAACACGGTATGAAATTGAGATGTTTTTGTTTTCCCTATTTTAAATTGAAATGCATTGTTAGCTGTTGCGTGGTGTCCACGCGTAAGAATGATTTGAATAAAATAACACCATGTTTTAAAATAACACAATTCTGTTAACAACGATTCTGTTACACTAAGATTACAAAGCAGTGATACATCACAACGCATGCAACAAGATATAAAAGGCGTATCGCCATAGAAGGCGAAATCCATTGCAGATGCGGTTAACAATAAAATGAAAGGTAAATAAAATTAATATCACGTATTGGACTGTAAAGGAACATGAGTAATAAATAGTATTTTAAGAAAATAAAAATGTTGCTACTCCTGTTTAGCTATAGCGCAGTTCTTCGCTTCAATTTTGATTTTCGTGTATGTTTGAAACGTTCTTCTCCTGGTTAGTTTAGTGACTGTGGGATTTCAATAACTTGTGAACCGACATGTCTAGACATGTTTTACGTCGCACATGGCCAACGTATTGCAATCAAGCTCTACATGAGGCAAATGACATTTTCAACGCATGCGCTGTTAGACTAACAGCAGGATTACACAAGGCCACAAGGCGATTGTTGTCAGAAGTTAGAACGTGAAAATCAACAATTTCTATGATAAAGTAAAACCAACACAAGCGTTGATATTTTAAAAAAGAAAAAATTATTAGCTCCTAACCTGACATTTACTCCTCATTTGACTCTAAAGATGACTACCGCTAAGGTTGTCGAAACGTCAGTCAACAACAAAAACAGTCTATCTCAGGACTTTATTAACCTGGACGATCATCATTTACAAACATATAACGATACTCCCGGGTTCAAACCATTTACTTTAAGGTACTTTTCCTCATAAAAGGAAAAATACTCCATCTACACAAACTAAATCCAAGGACAAACCTAAACACAACACAATACATGTTCCTGACTCAACTAACAAAAAGACTTCATCTCACAGGTGGTGAATATACATACGATTTAGATGTTGATGTATAGCCAGAGTCAGGAGTATGGAAAGGTAAGTTAGTAGATGGAGTTTTAACTTGTTCAGGTTGGTTAGTAGCATCAGAGAGTAGTTTCCATTCAAACTTGAAAGACAGTTTCTCTTCAGCAAAGGAGGAGGACCAGGTAGGCCGATAGTCTGTTAAGTAGAAATTTTGGGAATTCATGAGAACTGTTATTGTTCTTTCAACATACCATTCTATTTTAAGTTTGATCGATTTATTGTTTATATTGATGTCCCAGGATGGAGAAGAACCAATACCAAGATTTCCAATTAATCAGGAAGCTTGAAAAGTTAAGGGATAGTATGATTTACCAATGAAATCGTTTGGATTTGATGAAATTTTCTTAGGCGTAGTTGGAGTAGGAAGAACACCGTTGAAAATAGGAAGCACCATCGCTATAATTATGGGTTTGAAGATCTTCGTAAATAAAAGAAAAAATGTATACAATTCGACTCCAAAATCTTGTAGAAATGTAGAGGAGAGTACCAGGAACACGTAGATACCAAATATAGATAATCCACGATAGATTTAAGAGCTAAAATTTTCGAACGAAGACGAGCGCGATAAACAAAACAACCGCCGATCGCACCAATTTATAAACTTTGATTTCTCGGCGAAAAAAGGACCAATTTCAGCCAATAAACTCTTGAAATGATCGCTAGACTTTTAGCTACAAGATTATACCATAAAGTAAGGCCAATGAACAATTTTGAAGGAAGAAGATCAAAATTTCGAAGAGCACCGCCGGAAAATTCAATTGCCTTGCATTTTTGACCTTGCTGTGGCAAGATATCAGGCCGTGTAATTTAAGTAGGCCATGGTTGACCTTTTCTTTCCGGTTGGCACTGATGAGTTCTCAATTTCTCCTAAACTTCTCCTTATTTACGCATAAAAACACTCAAAACATCTCAAAAATGAAAATCAACAAGTCTCGCCGAGACAAAGATAAGAATATTACAAGTCATTCCATGTTATTCCATTTCATAAATGGCGTGCTTTTTCATCCTTATTGCTGTGATAGTGTTTGCATTCAATTGCTCCGGCGTCAATGCCGACGATCTTGCAAGGTTTGATTGTTATCCAGAGGGACGGGACAGTATGTTGAATAAAACATTGTGCGAGAATCGTGGATGTCTTTGGAAAGAACCATTAAGCGATAATGTACGTATCAACAGTAACTTGTAATCGTTCAGAGATAATAAAGTGAACATACACACATACCACCTACTGACAATAACAAAGTTCAACACAGACATAATTGTAGGCAATATCAGTTACACATAGTGAAGTGATTGGTCCAAATAGAGATTTTGGAGAACTCTTTTAGAAAGCTCCATCGTGCTTCTATCCCAGCGGTTTCAACGCATACAAACTGGCTAAAAGGAGACCCACCACAGAAAGGCAGGATATAATTTATCACCTACAAAGAGTAGACAAAAGAGTGTTGTATGGAAATCATAGCGACAATATAACAGTTCATGTGCATTTCTACAACAGCGATGTATTAAGGGTGAAGGTAAGGGACTTGAAGGGATTCTGCAGGGCAATATAACAGTCTACGTGCATTTTTACAACAGCGATGTATTAAGGGTGAAAGTAAGAGATTTGAAGGGACTTTGCAGGACAGTATTACACTTCACGTGCCCTTCTGCAACAGCGATGTATACTATAAATTGTGACGATAAGGGATTTGAAGGGACTTTGCAGGACAGTATTACACTTCACATGCCCTTCTGCAACAGCGATGTATACTATAAATTGTGACGATAAGGGATTTGAAGGACATTATCAAAGTTAAGGGTGAAGGAGCAAGGTCTAAGGGATTAAAATTCAGGACAATCAAATTAGAAGCAACGATTCGAATGAACTTTGAAGGGGTAACTGCTATCAAATTTCCATTCTATCAAATCTCATTTTTAAGTTTTACCGTTTACAAACAGTTATATGACAACAACGTGGACAGGTACAAAGTTCCATTGTATCAAATCTCATTTTTAAGTTTTACCGTTTACAAACAGTTATACGACAACAACGTGGACAGGTACAAAGTTCCATTGTATCAAATCTCATTTTTAAGTTTTACCGTTTACAAACAGTTATACGACAACAACGTGGACAGGTACAAAGTTCCATTGAAGTTCAATAATCAATCGTACGATGGTGGAGAGACGAAGTACAGAGTACACGCTGAGGAATTTCCATTTGCATTGAAAATAATACGAAGCAACGACGACACTCTAATGTGAGAAAACGCTACACTTATAGCTGAAATATATAAGGAATTTTACAGTTGTATAATTTCACCATTATCTAGATGGGACAGTTCGGTAGCACCGTTGATCTTCAGTGACCAATACATTCAAATCTCAACGAAACTACCCTCTACATATCTTTATGGTTTCGGTGAACAGGAACATGCGAGTTTCGCGCGAGGACTGGACTGGAAAACATTGGGAATGTTCTCACGTGATCAGTTCCCATTCGTGAGTCCTTTTACAGAAGTCGTTATTCAATTCAACAGGCACTTATTTAGCGTTAATAATCAAATAGCGTACACTCCTGGTTAGTAAGAACCTCCGCCATCAATACTCTAACAAAACATGATTGTGGCCAAGGAAACAGCAGTACCAATGGTACCAACAGGATATTAAACACACAAAGTCGCCCTTCTCTCCGTATTCATTTTCTGCATTTAATACAATGAACTAAAAGCTTGTAATCATAAACGTAAAATCCTTACATTTCCATCTTCCGCAGGCAGCAGCAGAAGGAAATACATATGGAGTACATCCATTCTATATGAGCTTAGAGAAGAGTGGTAAAGCACACGGTGTAGTGCTTGTCAATAGTAACGCAATGGGTAAGAATAACTACGTCATGTAGGACCAGTTATAAATCTTTATAAAATTTATCAACCAATCAATAGATGTGACTCTACAGCCAACGCCAGCTTTGACGTACCGAACAATTGGTGGAATATTGATTTTACTTTTCCTTGGACCATCACCCGAGGATGTTGTGCAACAGTACACAAAGGTAACAACATTTGTTCGGTTTTTGAAATAGATATCATGGCAACTGTTGCTTTAAAAAGTTCTTTGACAGCTTTTCCATCGCGATGGAAATAACCCACAATCTCAATACTCATGTTTTGTAATCTCATCAGAAAGAACTATGGTGTTTTTTTACAGTTAATTGGTCGACCATTCATGCCGCCATACTGGAGTCTTGGTTTTCAACTCTGTCGCTATGGTTACAAAGATTTGAACGATGTGAAGGAAGTTGTAGCGGAAATGAAGAAATACAACATACCACAGGTATAAAATAGAACTTTGTTGGGGACATAGATTGCTATACAGGTACATAAATAGGATTGAATGTTTTCAGGATGTACAATACGGAGATATTGACTACATGGAGCGACAACTCGACTTCACGTACGATAAATCAACATACGACGAACTGCCACAGTTTGTGAATGACATCAAAAAGGAAGGACTAAAGTACATAATTATTCTGGTAAGATAACGACGCACTTTTGTGATACCATTGTATATAATAAAATAGCAATTTCTTGTACATGAAATCGAACTCTTCTTCATTACCATATCCAGGATCCTGCCATCAGTGTGAACGAGACAACGATGTATCCAACATATAGTGAAGGTGTGAAAAATGACGTTTGGATCAAGAACTACGAAGGAAATACATTGCTTGGAAAGGTAGTTACGTGCGTTATACATGGCTATTAATGTTGCAAAGCTGCTTCAAAAGGGTCTTTTTGAATGAGGTTTTTGTGAAAGGTTCTTGAGAACGATTTGCCTTGAATGAGGCTTCCCAAACGTTCTTGAGGAAGATCTCCTTGATTGAGGTTTGGGAAAAGTTCTTGAGAAGGATTTGCCTTGAATGGGGCTTCTTACAAAGGTTCTTGAGGAAGGTCTCCTTTGAATGAGGTTTGTCAGAAAGGTCCTTGAGAAGGATTTGTCTTGAATGAGGCTTCTTACAAAGGTTCTTGAGGAAGGTCTCCTTGAATGAAGTTTTCAGAAAGGTTCTTGAGAAGGATTTGCCTTGAATGAGGCTTCACAAAGGTTCTTGAGGAAGGTCTCCCTTGACTGAGGGTCAGAAAGGTTCTTGAGAAGGATTTGCCTTGAATGGGGCTTCTTAGGTTCTTGAGGAAGGTCTCCCTTTGATCGAGGTTTGTCAGAAAGGTTCAAAAAGACCACTCTAATTAATCACATGCATGCACCCAGGCTACATGATTTACATAGCTAATGAGAGCGATGTGATGTGTTTAAACATTAATGTCTACCTGGTGGACGATTGAACTCAAATCTGGTAGCTTCTCGACTTTGTTTCCTTCGAAAGGTATGGCCTAACTATCCCAATGTTAGCGAAGATACAAGTCACTTTTGAGGAACGTATTGAGGTGTTGTTTTAAGTTAACTTCAGTAGTGTCGATCAGATTAGTAAAATAAGAAATCTTCTTCTTGACGAAAGCGTTTCCGTGCGTACGTTGTTTTTCCTGATTACTTCGCCAACAATACGGCAAAATGGTGGCGAAACGAGATAGAGAAATTTCACAAGATCATCGACTTCGATGGCTTATGGATCGTAAGCAGATATACATAAAAACTCCACTGTGATTTTATGTTTCGGTGAGGGAAGAACAATTCTTTTTGATGCGACTATTTTTGTTCAATATAGGACATGAATGAACCAGCAAATTTTGTTCATGGATCAATTCGTGGATGTCCACGTACAAAGTTTGACTACCCGCCGTATAAGCCATGTAAGATAACATATGATGATATGTCCACCTACAAAGTATGACTACCCGCCGTATAAGCCATGTAAGATAACATATGATGATATGTCCACGTACAAAGTTTGACTACCCGCCGTATAGCCATGTAAGATAACATATGATGATATGTCCACGTACAAAGTTTGACTACCCGCCGTATAAACCATGTAAGATAACATATGATGATATGTCCGCCACAAGTTTGACTACCCGCCATAAACCAAGATAACATATGATGATATGTCCACGTACAAAGTTTGACTACCCGCCGTAAAACCATGTAAGAGAACATATGATGATATGTCCACGTACAAAGTTTGACTACCCGCCGTATAAGCCATGTAAGATAACATATGATGATATGTCCACGTACAAAGTTTGACTACCCGCCGTATAAACCATGTAAGATAAATATGATGATATGTCCACGTACAAGTTTGACTACCAGCCGTATAAGCCATGTAAGATAACATGATGATATGTCCACGCAAAGTTTGACTACCCGCCGTATGTATGTAAGATAACATATGATATATGTCCACGTACAAAGTATGACTACCCGCCGTATAAACCATGTAAGATAACATATGATGATATGTCCACGTACAAAGTTTGACTACCCGCCGTATAAACCATGTAAGATAACATATGATGATATGTCCACGTACAAAGTTTGACTACCCGCCGTATAAACCATGTAAGATAACATATGATGATATGTCCACGTACAAAGTTTGACTACCCGCCGTATAAACCATGTAAGATAACATATGATGATATGTCCATAAAGTTTGACTACCCGCCGTATAAACCATGTAAGATAACATATGATGATATGTCCACGTACAAAGTTTGACTACCCGCCGTATAAGCCATGTAAGATAACATATGATGATTTATTTATAACCAGAAGTGCTGTAGCAAAAGGTGGAGATGTCGACATATACACAATAACTCCACGTGCAACAAAACAAAAAAGATCTCCGTGCTTTTATCTAAGAGGAGTGAGAATTTAAGGAAACCATTTCAAACCTAAGAAATCTCAGTACAAATTTCTTCAGTGTAAACACTTATTGCGAAACTGACACTAATAATCGAAAGAGATATAAATCTCAAAATGATTTATCAAAATTGGTATGTCTTCAAAAATCTCAGAATGCTTTATTCAAGATTGTGAAAACATTTGCGATATTTTTTCAAATACTTCGATGTCCTTCTAAACACTCAGATGTCCTCTGAAAAACTTCGATGCCCTCTGAAATAGTTAAAGTCCGGAAATACTTAAGAGTCCTCTCAATACTTAGACGTCCTCGGAGATAATTAAGCAGATAAGACAATATGTAATGAGTGCAAATAAGCTGAAGGAAAACATCGCCATTACGACGTACACAGTTTGTACGGATGGAGTCAGACTGTGGTCACACAACAGTAAGTCTCAAACAAGCATTAATTTTATGTCCATTTCGATCTCACATCTTCCCTTTTTAAAATGCTAGTTTACCTACAAAGTTATTGCACTGTATCTTTTATATGTCTTAGCATCTTTGTTTTTACAGCTGAATTTATACTTTGGCCTTTAACACTCTATCTATATTGTACTCCATGATTTCACATGTAGAATCATGCAGTTTGACCAATAAACGAAGCATCGTAATCTCTCGCTCGACGTACATTAGCAGTGGTAAATATGCCGGACATTGGCTGGGTGATAATCTTTCTGCATACTACCAAATGCATCGCTCTATCGTTGGTACGATTACGATTTGCAGCATGTCGAAGATCCAACATTACACTAACAAATTTTTGTTCAGGAATGCTGGATTTCAACCTGTTTGGCATACCGTATGTAAGTTGAAAATGTGATTGTTTATCATCGGTATATTTTTCTTTTTCCAACTGCTGTTCGAAGAAGTATTTAACTCTTGTAGATTGGTGCGGACATATGTGGTTTTATAGATGATACAACAGCAAGTTTGTGTCAACGCTGGATGCAACTTGGGGCTTTTTATCCGTTTAGTAGAAACCACAATACATTCGGAGCGAAGGTAACTATAATAATGAAATTCTTTAGTCAAGTAATGTTTCACCTTCTGCAAGATAACAAAAACTCTGAATGTAATTTTGCAAGTCCTTTTATCAAAAGTCAAATCTTTTTTTTCTTTCAGCCTCAACATCCTACGGTGTTTGGTGAAACAATTAAAAACATACGCGATATCTTATTGGTTCGATATCGTTTGCTGCCATATCTCTACACTTTGTTTTACGATGCTCACACCAAGGGTTCCACGGTTGTTAGACCTCTTCTTCACGAGTGAGAAAAAACACTGAATACGAAGAATAAGAAAACGATCAATCCATCATACATTTCTGTCGACTTGAACTTCTCTTTAACGATATCAATTTGAATATCTATTTCACTCTCATCCAGAGAAATGAAATAGTGGAAACTACATTTTATTTTTTTCACTCTTCCTTGCAGATTTACAGCAGATTCAGCAACATGGACCATAGATAAGCAGTTTCTGTGGGGGTCAGCTTTGCTGATAAGTCCAGCTTTGGAAGAGGTCAGTTACTTTTTTTGTCATAAAACAATGAGCTATGATCTCGACCAATCATTGAAACGATCAACAACAAAGAGTTTGAACAGTCATTCCATAAAATTTCTTCCTTCAGAATCAAACAGAAGTGAAAGCGTATTTTCCAGATTCTCGTTGGTTTGACTACTTCACAGTGCGTTCTAATACGATCAATTATTTATGTACATTGTGTACTGTTGTTTGACCGTATAAATTTTAAAATGATTTGAGTATCACGTCTTAGTCTTTTTAACGTACATTATTACAGGGAAATGAAGTATCACAAAGAAGCGCCTACAGAAACCTGACGACGCCTCAAGATCACATTAACCTCCACCTGCGAGGCGGGTTTATAATACCTGTACAAGAGCCAGCGAACAATACTTTCTTCAGGTATGCGGTCACATTCTCCTTTAATACTAAGAGATTCGGAAGAATAAGAGGCCACCATTCCCATTAACAAGGACGGTTGCTAGTAAAGTTTGTAGAGGAGCGAACTTTAAGATTTGTAACTAGACACAAGCCCAAATCTGATTCATTTCCGTATTAACTGAAAGACAATTAATACAGACACGTTATTGATGTAAAAACTCCCCATCTGTCAGTGACGTCACTGGTCATCTTTTTATTCCAGTCGTCGCAATCCGTTTGGTTTGATTGTAACTCTTGATGATGATGAAAAAGCAATTGGATATATGTTCTGGGACGATGGTGACTCAATAGGTAGTGATTGTTTTCTAAATCTTTGAAGATCCATAAGCTTCTTCTTACATCACGAATCTTACTTTCCACTTTAGACACGATAGAAAAGAACGCGTATCTTCTGTTGCAGTTTAAAGTTGCTAAGGTTTACGAACGGTAGAGACTCTTCACATTTTGACTTGAAGTTGATCGAAAATATTTTGGTTCACAGAACAAGCTGACGATAGAAACACCAAAAATAACATCAACGTCACCCCGTCTTGACACAATTGTTATCCTCGGTTTAAAACATGGTGAGGTAAGATCATCTCAAGGACAGTCCATCTACAAAAACTCATCAAAGGTACGTACACAAAGACTCGTAGCTACCAAAGAGGGATCGTGATTCCTAAGATCGAAGCATGAAATTAATTCTTCAGTCTAAAGCCAGAAGACACTCTTTGACTTAAAAGGCTGAAACCATCCCTCATCTTCAAGATGTGTTATAGATTCATCACATCAAAGGAAAAACTTGATCCTTAAAGCCAACCAACCCTTAGTTCTGAAATTCGGTCATACATTTAGTGAACAGAAGAAGGCTTTAACACCTGTGTAGATTCACACCAGTATGTTAGAATAGAGAAAGTTGAACATCCAAACACTGATGATGGGAAGTCACTTTTTTCCTTTTTCTTTTAGTCACTGAACATCACTGGTTTGAATTGGAATATGAACGAGCGACATGAATTATTCTGGACGACAAGCAAATCACGTGCAGTCGGAAGTCAAAAGAATGTTATAACTCGTTTAATCTTTTTAGTTGTGTATTTTTTTGTGAACTTATGATGAAAAAACTTGACAAGTGTAGTGGAATGCAAACCATTTAAATACAAATATATTATATTAACTTTAAACGGATGTTTTCGAATTGTACAATCCGCTTTAGCTACAATGTACTTTTTACGAAAGTTAAGTTAAATATTTTTTCGAACAATGAAGTTTCAAGGGACTTGATAAATCTAAGCAACTACAATACCCATGCACGAACTCTTAAAAAGATCAAATCGATTTCCTCAAAAGATAAAAGTATGCCACCGAAACTGGACTTTGATTAATTGCATTGCATTCAAAACATATAAAAAAGAATAATCCTACCATGGGTTATTGAACACGTTAAGACTGACGAGATAAAACCTCATTGAGATCAGACATTACTTCCAAGACAACTTTCTTTAGCTATGAAACAAAGAAGACGAAGTTAGTGTGTGAAAACAGATCAGTTGAAACCGTCTGCTTTTTACAATATAACACTGTGGATGAATGAAACAAAACCGTGGCTCTTTGCTTCATTAAGTAATGCTATGGTTCATTGATTTGGTAAATACAAAAATCGACCATCTGATGAAGTGGTAAATTCAATTTAAAATACCTCGCCTTTGGATGTGTCCGCAATTTCTTGTAATCTTCGCATCGAAACCTAAATTAATATGAGTTTCTGACATGTAAATAAAACACAAGAAAAATCAGAAAATTCTAATAAACGCATTTTCCCATAAACAGAATGTTTTTGTGCTACGCAACAAAACACAATAGATTCCATTGTTGTCAATGATAAGAAAAGTTCGGTGTTCGTACCACTTCAAGAAGTTCGTGAGAAAGACAGATTATCTGGCTCGACAATTAAAGACTGTATACAACTACAAAAAACAAAACAAAGAACGTTTAACTGAGAAACATCTCATAAATGAAACAGTTCGATTGTATGCTTACTTAAGACAAGACAAACGAAGTTCACTCTCAGTTTCTTCTACAATAAAACAAAATATGTTTTAGAACAAACGTTGTTAAGGCCTAACTTTAATTTATACCAACACAAACCTGTGAACAGGTAACCAAGGTTGGTCATCAGGCCTTTTTTCGTCGAAAGATATTTTAGTCCTGTTTGGTTGATACTTTAAAGGAAAAAATAATCGGTTACATCTATGTAATGAAGTATCAATAAATAGGGGATGCCAGGGTATTGAAAATGGGATCTTGGTGAACATGGTGGATGTGTAGGTTTGGGATATAAAGGGTAGGGTGGAAATGGCAGAGTTGGAGATGATGTTCTAGGGTAATATGTCAGAGTATCTACGCGATTGTTGCGGTAAAATTGTAGTAATCAAACAATTAATAATTTGTTTCTACAGTGTTTTCATACAGCCCATTTAGTTACTCATACTATGCAAGTATTTCATGATTGCACTGATTGTAAAAACAATAATATTAATTGAAAACTGAATTGAGTAAAATCAATGATCTTAAAGACTATATTGGAGTAATACAGAATGAAAGACTTTTTGTAGACAATGGCAAAAACGAAGCTTACATAAAATAAAACATTTGACTTACCTCACATTAAACAAGGACTTAAGAATAAGATTTTTGATGGTGTGACACTGTCGTGTAGGCATTTCAGACAAATACATAATCAGAGAATCCAATGTTTTCACTCCAAGTGTTTTACTTGAAAGGTAATCTCTACCCAGGGGGGTGGCAGCAATATTTGTGATGATGCCAATCATTGACGACACAAGATTATATTCATCGGAACTACTATCATATATCTTGTTTGGTGGTGAATGCAGTGAACCATCAATGTTACTTTCTCTTTAAACTTTCCAATGATTGTGTTACAAATTCCAAGAATTTCACAATAGTTTCCTGTAAACAGGACAAATCAATAATAAAGAGCACATTAATTGGAGTTAGGTCCAACAAAGAACATAACTAGTCTTGAAGACTTTAGAGAGCAGTTTGCTTCCACAGGTTGAGCATCTTCACTAAGACTTCTCAATAACTTTTCTTGTCAAAATCTTGGAAAGTTGATGCCTTGATTTAATCATGAACTTGCCAAAATACAGCCAACATTTCTGGCGAATCTGTGTTTAATATATTTGCATAACCTTGTTAAGATCATGTTGCACAGCAAGATCTCTTAAAACTTTTCAAGATACAACCATATCTTAACATGATCATGGCAAGGTTACACACATGATCATGACAGTTACACACATGATCACAAGGTTGCACACATGATCATGGAGCTTACACATGATCAAGGTTGCACACATGATCATGACAAGGTACACATGATCATGACAAGGTTGCACACATGATCATGACAGAGCACACATGATCATGGCAAGGTTGCACACATGATCATGACAGGTTACACACATGATCATGGCAAGGTTGCACACATGATCATGGCAGGTTCACATGATCATGACAAGGTTGCACACATGATCATGACAAGGTTGCACACATGATCATGACAAGGTTGCACACATGATCATGACAAGGTTGCACACATGATCATGACAAGGTTGCACACATGATCATGACAAGGTTGCACACATGATCATGACAAGGTTGCACACATGATCATGGCAAGGTTGCACACATGATCATGACAAGGTTGCACACATGATCATGACAAGGTTGCACACATGATCATGACATGGTTGCACACATGATCATGGCAAGGTTGCACACATGATCATGGCAAGGTTGCACACATGATTGGGCAATTTCTTCATGATTTTTACTGTCAACCAACAATAAAATATCAGCTTGACCAGAGTGCAAACTAGCTGATGCTAGTTTTGTCAATAGTTTTAAGCCACTGACATGAACTGATGCAAATAAGCAGTAAGCATTTCAACACTATGTCCATCAGTATCTCAATAGTTTATAAAGGTTCAACATACCCTTATCATTGATTCAATACAGTCATCTTTCATGGAAGCATGCCAAATAATAGTGAGACAAATAGCAACAAATGACAAACACTCTTTGTATTCTTCAAATCTTTCTTCTTCTAAGACATTCAACTGCGTCTGGTGATAAAAATATTTTCTTTTCATGAAATAGTCAATTTCAACCTTCGGTGTTTAATAAATTGGTGGCATTCCATAAAATGACTTACTTTTAGTTGAAAATTCTCCTGGAAAGTGTTAAAATAAAACATGAAACATCAAAGCTGGACTTCCATAAGTATCCTTAAAGATCCCTATGAAACCATCAACTACCTCTTAATCTTTCAACTTCTTCGATGCTGTTATCGTAGCGTCTTCTAGTAACAAATTCTTCTGTTGCTTTGGTTTTGATTTCGTGTTGTAATCTATTCACTTCTAAAAAGAATGTGTTAGAAACGAACTAGTTTTAATGAAGATACTATTTATACATGCAAATAGTTAGCATTTAAAGAGAAAATTTTAAACTCCCATACACGGCAAACGAACCTTGCTCCAAAGAATAGATTTTCTTGTACAACATTGACATAGTGTTGACGGAAAGAACCTAGATAATTGTCGTTTGTATTTAAGCATGAAGTATCTCAAAAGTCTTGTGTGAGCTGCATAATAATCAAATTCACCTTAGAAAGTGACTGTTTAAGCTTCGCAATATCTTTCACCATCTTTTCCAAACCAATACTTGAAACTTTTACGAATTCATGTGCAGATAATTTTTGCATTTCCATTTCTCACACGAAATATAAACTTGCCGGATAAAACAAGAAAAAAATGAATGAAATTTTTAAAAAGTGCTTCGATTATCGGTTTGTGTTAAAATCTACAAGTGATAACCAAACCCAAACTGCAACAAGAAATCCAAAAATAAGTATTTAAAACCCGCCATCTTTATCCTTCGAGACGGGGAGAGAGGAAATGAGATACTACAAAGACAAAAACGGGGAGGAACAATATCATTTTAAAGTGCGCAAAAATGTGACAATGGTTTCATTTAAATTGAATTTATCTAAATGCTTTGTACACGATAACAATGATTTTACGCTATAATTTAGCACATTTACATTAAAGTTTCTGTCAAAAACTAGAAGGTCGGTATTGATTTCAGTTCTACAGACATGCAATATCTCGTTACACAATACACCTTCCTATCATGTACAATTAAAGTTACCGATAAATGATACGTGTTTTCTCTCTAGTGTCTTTTGCGTATCCGTGTTCGGCCAGCAGTTGACTGAAACTCATTTTTGAACTTTTCTTTCGCTTTAACGTCACTAAAACTCGACCAAAACTATCGAAATCGCCCAGCTCTGCATAAACCAATGTCTGATTATCATTCAGCATTCTTTCCAGCTCTTTCTTGTCGTCACGTTTTGATCTGTTCTCATCAAAATCGCTCGCGTTATTACCCATACAAAGATGAGCGAGGAAATTGCGCGCGCAGTAACCCTCTGCCCATTGTGTCGAGAGAGCCCTTCTTCAACTCAGCGCAGTCGATATTTTTCAAACGACATTTTATTTTGATGAGTCTCTCATTAAACTCAACTACAAGATACAACGTGTCTCCGTCGAGAACACGAACAACTTTCACATCCTGTTTAATGCCACTGAAAGTAAATTTATCAACTTTGTCGAATGTCGCTGATTGTTTTTCAACATCCATACTTGTGAAACTCAGACTTGACTTCAGGCAAAACTTTCTCGATAAGTTTGTTTTGTTCGTGCGTAGTAAAATTGCATCAGTCAAATGCAAATGATGTATGAATAAGGAAATTACAAGCTGAGTCACAGAAGTGGTCTGGGTGGGCGGGCATCAACAAAAATGCATTAAATGTTGACTTTGAATTTTGATCTCGGAGGGAAAGTTCCCAATTGTAATCAATAAAGAAATGGAAACTTTCGTTTTAAATTCGCGTCTTGTTGTTGTCAATCATCCATTCGATATTTTTACTTTTTACATTCAAAAACGTTTGTTATCGAGTCATTTTTCATGCATGGCATATATCTTTGTCTCACACAAACTGTTACTATACGTGTACAAATATTAATTATGCAAAGGACACACAGTCATATGACTGTCGTATGAGTGCCAACTATAGTTTACGCAATAAATTTTAGTGATACAATTTGAAATTAACCAATCACTTTTAAAGACGTTAATAACTGTAGGAATACATACTCATCTGTAACTTTGAAGCCCAACAGATATTGGCTTTCTTCACTAAAATCCTATAAAATTAATAAAAATTATGGACTAAAGCCTACAATCGTGGTCCAATGTAATGGACACATTTTGAAAGTCTAGAAGTGTAATAATAGTTGAAACTAAATGTGTATAGTCATTTACAGATCTCATTCATACTACAGTTCACGCAAACAGCTAGGTCCACTGGGATACTATTCATAACGAAATTTCCGACCACAATCTATTAAACTTTTTAATCGATCAAAATTAATCAGAATTGTCGGAAAAGTGAATATCTTTTCCCGAAGCCATAAAAGACTTCACAAAATGAAAATCTGAGAGTAAATATTTGTCTAATGCTTTCTTTCTTGAATATTCTTCTAATTGAAGGAAGAAATACAAATAAGTGACAATTATTACTTTTCAAAATCGCTACAAAATATTTACATCAAGACGAAAAATTTTACGACGTTTTGTTGATAAGTTCGTTTATTTCGTTCATGCAAAGGTGTGATCTGGGATGAAAAATATTAAGCGACAGGCATCTTAATAAATATATAAACTCACAATTCTCGGACAAGATTGACGCCATTTTGTGAAGACAACTGATGTTTCTGATCCAAGTACGTGTAAACATCTTTCTTGTGAATTTTCGACGAAAAGCAAGATGAACGTAAAACGCAGCCCTCCCTTTCAACTGTTTTTCAAATTCCACCATTTATCATGTCATACATGGTAAAATAATTATAAAGCCAGTTAGATACAATTCCTTTTTTTGAAAAGTCATCCTTGACCATGTTCTTCAGAAACAGCTCGACTGCTGAAAGGAAAAAGTTAAACTCATTGTTTGCTTGACTGTGAATGATATGGAGGACAAGGTTGAAAATCTTTGAAGCATTCTTGGCGTTCCAGTCTTTACAACGACTCAGAGCACACCTTCAAAAGACAAGTTCACCGTGTCAATGCTTCCAGATTACGAGTTTGTCAATAATGTTATGGTGGACACGCTGAAATATTGGAAAACGGAACCAGTTGCTTTATTATACGACGGTATGTCACGACTTAATAACGATCAGTAATGATAAAATAAATAACATGGTAAATTATACATAAAACCAAATGGAATGTACGGTGTTTAAAGGACAGTCAACAAAATATACTGTATTTGTGGAAAAACAGTCAACAAAAACTAGTCTTTTTCCACAGCTCTATAAAGTGAATAATTTGAACCCGGGAGTATCGTTATATATTAGTAGATTGTCCAGATTAGTGAAGTCCAGAGGTTCGTGAAACAGACAAAAAATACGGCGAACCATAGACGTTTACTCCTCACTTGTCTATGTAAATGAGCACCGCTAACGTTGTCAAAACGTCGTCAAGACAAACACCAACAGTACTTCTCAGGGCAAAACTAACCTGGACGATCTACATCTACTGCTACAAGCATGTAATAACATGTCTATTGAGCAGCTTTAGTAAAAAAAAAACACTATATAAAGTTGAAAGATAGTGAAACACCCCTTAAAATAGAGAATCACGATTGAAATCTTCCCTATATACTGTCTATCTAATTTCTAAAAATTCGCACTTTTTTCTCTCCATTCGTTGCAAAGTAAAGAAAAGCAAGCAAGCTGCCCATTTACAATCGCAAGCAAGAAATGCCAGCCTTCGGATGTTCCTCATGCCAGAAATAAATATGGATGATAACAAGTCATAAGTTATGCTGTAGGAGAACTGAAACGATCACATTTAACATCTGCCGTGCTTCTGTGCTCCTAGGATATACAAAATTGATGAGGTAGGAATGATTTGGGCTCAGACTGAAGTGTCCTTCAAACTGCCAGCTTTGTGTGCTCTCTAAGGATATACAAAAATTATAGATGAGGTAGGAATGATCTGGGCTCAGACTGAAGTAGTCCTCAAACTGCCGTACTCCTGTGTGCCCGATATACAAAAATTATAGATGAGGTAGGAATGATCTGGGCTCAGACTGAAGTAGTCGTTCTAACTGCCGTCCATCTAGTTTTAGTCGTCTCTAAAACACAAGCCGATAGGACAGAGCTCAATCCACACTGTTCAAACAATTATATGAAAACCAGCGTTTAGTTCTACATCAGGAGAGTTAAACTACTAATTATGAGAACTAAACAAACTATACACATCATTTTCCAAAAACTCACTTCAGTAGTACAGTCATAGCCGAAGTTTAACTCGTGAAAACTTGAGTGGAACGATTTCACTATGGTAATTGCTTCTTCGTATGCTTTTCAAACGAATGGTGTCTATATATGATATTATAAAGCAGCCATTTACTTTTGCAATTGACCAACAATACTTAAAACTATATTTCTTGATTAAACGTTGATGCAATAAGATTTACATTGATAACAGACAATAAAGTACAATCTATACAAAGAAACGAAAAAGGATTGGAGATGGCTTGCCATTGACTTGGTACGTATAAACAAGTACTTAAATAGTTGCATTTGAAAAAAGTAGAATATTTACAGCAGAATATTTCATTTATAGTGAAGATGACTTAATGCGAAGTCGAAACATGTTTATGTTAAAAAATTTTGTCGTTTTTTGCCTCATTAATCTTTCGCTATTAACTTCATACCGAGGCACTTGCCGTAAAGGATGCTGGGTGTGATATGGAATATATATATCCCAGGATTCCAAAGTGATGGACAATTGTGCGAAACCTTAAGCGGCATTACTGGTTTCGTGCAAAAGATACACCAACGAAGAAATTATAAAGATTATGGCCTTTCGGGACGAAGTACAGAGCAATCATCAAAAACGTCGCCTTACCAGCGTCAGCTTTGTAAGATAAAATCAAAAAATTATTGCGTACATGCGTGTATGCATTGTATCGTATTTCTCTTCATTTATTGTTGAATCTATAACTATATGGTGCTATAAATCCATTTTCAGAGCTTTTATGCGTACATGACGTATTGGTTGTAGTCGAACGCTTCATTGTAAAAAAGATTTATCGCAGCCGACTTGGATAAGGAGCAGATTCTTCCATGCAAAAGTAAATCTGTATGTAATTAGACAATATTTTTTTATTAGCTTTTGTCTTGGGTCAGTAGCTACTATTTCTCCGTTAAAATTTAATGGTCGTGTTTGATTTTAGCTCAAAACTGTGCTTTAAGTGGAAAAGTTGTGTTCGACAAAATGGGAAAGAGACAACTGGAACAGATAAAATTGTTCAAATTAGGGAAGGCAAACCGCACATCAAAGACGTAAGTTTGTGGAAAATCAAACTGTCAAGTTTCATTACTAATGATGGGAAATTTTTCATGAACAACTGAACAGCGTTGTTATGTATGTAGCTATACAGCACGAGATTATTAATTTCTCAAGGTTGGCGAATGGACCGTGGAAATTCAAACGAGAAGTAACAATCCAACGATGAAATGGTTTAAGGAAAAGATAGAGAGATGTGCGATGGAAGAAATGTCGATAAGACACGCAAACATTATCGAATAATTGTGAAAAGGGTAAAAAATTTGATAATTTTATAAATGGAAAATTGTTTGTTAATGAAGAATTGAGGTGCTTCTTAAAGGTCAAAATCTAGCCTTATCAAGTTTACATCGTGTTTTGAAACATCGTATTTTAAACTGGGAATTTTTCTTCTCTTTACACCGAGGTAACGAACTTAGCAACGCCGCAAAGCATTAGTGGAAATCATCAAATCAACACGCAGCAAAATGAACATAAGAATTGCACAACATTTATATAATCTATACTGCAGTATATTGATCCATAGGAAATATTTTCATCATATATTATAAAATGAAGACAATGAAACGCGTCCGCAGATTGCTCTAGAGCTGTTTGTATTGGCCTGTAAACACATCCGAGCTCAACCAATCAAATCAATTATAAAAATAAATCAATCAAAGACAATTTGCAAATCGAACATGAAAAGATTTGAGAGGAAAAATCAAAACGTTTACTTTAAATTTGTCTGTTTCGCATTATTGTTATTTTATAAAAGAAATAAAAAACATTTTTCGGATTTCCACTGGCTTATGCAAACTTCGGAGACGTTTGTGAGAACTCTCGAGCATGTGCAACCCATTGAAGTATTTACTTCAATGGTGCAACCATTGCAATGTTGCACTGATCTGCTCTCGAGCAAACACAGTAAACATCTTTTATTTCTTAAATGAAGATATATTTTAAACAACGTATTGAAGATATTTCATTATTTTAGAATGACGAGCCATTTGTATATATCAATGAAAACAAAAGCTTACCCGAGGAACAAAGATTTACAGGTTTTTGTATTGACATGGTCAAAAAACTGGCGAGTCCCGAGTACATGGATTTCGATTATAATATAATCATCGAAAAAAGTACAGGCGCAGTCGATGAAAAAACGAGCAGATGGTCAGGGATCATTGGCAAATTGATCGATCAGGTATTGAGTTAAAAGATCATAAGAATTAATGTTTGTAAATGCAGATCGTCCAGGTTGGTATAGTCCTGAGAAGGACTGTTTTTGTTGTTGTTGACCGACGTTTCAACAACTTTAGCGGTAGTCATCTTCAGAGTCAAATGAGGAGTAAACGTCAGGTTAGCCGTATTTGTTATCTGGTTCTTATGTCATTGTATTGTGTGTACAGGAAATGTGTGGGTGTCAATTGTGTATTGTCATTGTGAATTAGTGTAGGTGTAATGTACCCCGGTTCAAACCATTTACTTTATAAGAATCAATGCTCACTCAAAAATTGTCGATCATGTAAAGTTATGTATGATGATAAAAGAAAGAGTCAATGTTAATTTAGATTATCGCTATTTGAGGAAAGAAAATACACATGACGATATTGCTCAGTCATACTTGTGGCATAGCCCAGCCAATTAGGGGGGAGGGGAAGCTACCATTCATATATAAATGTATGTTTCATAATCGGTAATAAATATAATCAACAATGATTTTAAAATAGACACAGCATATCTTAGATATATGATACAAAGCCAGGCTTAGATGGTTTGGTCATGTACAGAGAACGAATAATAAGCATATAGACAGAGGGACGATAAGTTTAGAACTGCAAGGTGTAGTTAGAATTAAAGCCAGAGCGTAGCTAGAACGATAATGGGGTGTATATAATATATTAGTTGTGCCTGACTTGTTTTGAAATTCAATTCACTTCAAAAGAAATCAGTAGGGCACGACGGAATATATGAATATGCACCCCACTCCCACCAATTAACGTTATGGTTACGCCTCTGGTAAAAGGCCTAAAAGACCATATGCAGGTATATGCACGGATACACTGAAAGAGGACAAGAAGTTAGTATGAGACAAAAGAATACATTGGACAAAAATTGATGGAGGCAGATAATTCGCTGTGAGAGAGAATTCACACTTGTTTAACACTTCTTCTTTCCCCTACTCCTTACGTAGAAAGCAGACATGGGAACCGGTTCACTGACAATTACGGCACAAGAGAGAGAGCCGTGGACTTCAGCAAACCGTTCATGGATTTCAATATGGCATTGATCTTGAGAAAACCGGATGAGGAAAACAAAACATGTTTCGTTTCTTGGATCCATTTTCACCCATAGTGTGGTTGTGCACTGTCATGACGGTACGTTCTTTTTTGTATTTTTAAGTACATTTCGTGCATGGTTTTACATCTTTAGAGGTGTTTAGCAACAGAAAGCATCGAAAAAGAAGTGCTTCGTGTTATGTTTTTATACGTAAAACAGCGAGAACATTCTTCGAAGATTCAAAAACACAAAGGAAAATGTGTTCTTCCCTGCCTAGTGTGTGTGTTGCTGTTGCGTAAATCTTTATTTTCACAGGCCTCGATAACACATTACACTCCGCTCATCTTTCCTTTCTTTCATACAATTTAAGTCATGCACGATTGTGAAAAATGCAATATATATGTTTTCATTGCCTTTTAACCCTACCAACCAAACCCCAAAACGATAAATGCTAGATTGCATCAAGAGCCATGTTTGGTAAAACTCACGGAACTTTGTTTCTAAATCCTGAACAGGTTTTTGCAATGACTTTGTTCATGTACATCGTCGATTATCTCAGTCCTTACGGAAACCGAAAGACTGCGAAAGAGACCAATGAGCCTGGGGACGAGTTCAGTTTATACAACAGCCTGTGGTTTGCTACGGCAAGCATGCTACAACAAGGACCTGATAACACACCCAAGTCACCATCTGGAAGACTTTTGGCGTCATCGTTTTGGTTCTTTGTGCTGCTAATGATCTCAACTTATACAGCTAATTTTGCAGCATTTTTACCAGTAAGAACCATCTAGTGAAGCGTATAACGCGAGGGAGGAAGGGGGGAGGAGAGAGATCTCAATTTATTGATTGTATAAGGATACTGGTATATATGAAATTGATACATCGAATGAATACACTACTTATAATAACGTAAGAACTAAAGTTGAAACATTAGAACCTTCCTAGTGAAAACACTATCTTCGACTACCTAAGAACTTGTATTAAAACATTAGATACTTCATAATGAAAACACTATCTTCGACTACCTAAGAACTTGTATTAAAACATTAGATACTTCATAGTGAAAACACTATCTTCGACTACCTAAGAACTTATATTAAAACATTAGATCCCTAGTGAAAACACCGCATTTGATCGTTCCTAATGAAAACAATAACTTCGAATATGTATAATAATAGTTTCAACATAACACGAAACTCCCATTAGCTACATCTGCCATTTCACACAGCTGCCAAACTATATCTAACATATCATCAATTTATATTGAAACAGACAAGAAAACAAAAAGCACAATAACGAGTCTAGAGGATCTAGCGAAGCAAAGTAAAATCAAATATGGCGTCCTTAGAGGAGGTCAAATACACCAGTTTCTAAAGCAGAATTCCAACGATACGGTGTATAAAAAAATGGTGACCCATATGAACAGGTTTGTATCCAAATAACCGTTAAGAAGGTCTCGGGCCTATTGAATATGTAAACAATTTATTTCAGGCACAACACGTTCGCTGAGCGCTCAGCTAGTGGCGTCGAGAGAGCCAGGAATGGTGGTTTTGCTTACATAACAGAAGAGCCAATATTAGATTACTACAACACACGGAGCCCCTGCAATACGATGCTTGTAAAGCATTTATTTGAAGCAAAAAGTTACGGGTTTGCCTTGCAGAAAAATTCGGAACTTACGACTAGCCTGTCGGTGAATATTTTGAAAGTAAGGACTTTTATTCATTTTGTCTTCTTTGCAACAACTCGTCAACTTCAAAAAAGAAAGGAGAAAAGAGGAATTTTAAACGGTTTGTAATGAGTGAAACAAATTTTCCAACAAATCTTTTTTCCATCAATATAGCTGCGCGAAAAAGGCTTTATGAACGAGCGTTACACCTACTGGTGGCAGACAAGATCAGAATGTCCGAGAACAGTAAAGATTGATGACACCATAGACAGTATGAAGATAAAATTCAACAGCATGGCGGGGGTGTTTATAATCTTTGCGTCGAGTGTATATTCCCTTGCATTGCTCGTCATCGAGGTGAAATTCAAATGGTTGGTTGAGTGGATCTTGGAGGCTGGGGTATGAAATACGTTCATTAATAACATTGGTGGTCATGATTAAAAAACCTTATACATAAATATGTTTGTTTTGTGTTAACACAATTGTGCGTAATTTTCCATGACACAATGGCAAATGAAGTAAAAAAAAGCTTGTGAAAAGGCTGCATTAAAGAAACCGAATTCGCACTTGAACCAACAGTGAAGTCTGCCATTTCAAAATTAAGGGATGGGCTTACAGCAGAACATACTATATAGCTAAGATTTCGTCAAGATGAACAATATTAGTCACGTGATTCACATCGTATTTTCACCGTTCTCTAGTGCGAAAAATGCACGGATGACGATTATGATGACGAAGATAGTTATGATTACATGGAGCCCGCAATGGAGTCAGCGACCACCCCTTGTGAACGAAAAAGAGTCCCGGATGTATATTCAAATGCGCGAGAATCAAAGGTGTAGATGAAAACTCTACATTCATTCGTTGATGTCGACATTAAGCAGATGTTGCCCTGTTGGAAATGGACGAACATTCTTGTTGAAAGGATTTAACGCAAGGATTCAATAGAAAGTTGACAAAAAGCTAAAGTTGCAAACTAAACGGATGTTGACGAAAAATTGACAGTCGTTTCTTTCCATAGCTTTCTACATTAAGCTATATACATATTCTGTTTATGAGACGATAATCTGTGATTTAAAAAAAACCTTGCACATTTTGTGTGCGGTTCATGGTTGCGGTGAATTGAAAATGTAATGCGAGAAACGTTATTAAATATTAACAGTTGACGCAAAATTTTTTGCTTTGTTAAGTTGTTGCTCGCGTTAACTTCGAAATATTTGAAAGTGTAATCTGAAGTCTTCGATATGATTCGCTTTGCTTACTCGGCATTTTTCTACAACAATTTGTCTTAGTGTCGACAAAACAAAAAAAATTAGGTAAGATCTAAAAGTTGACATTGAGGGTGACGACTTTTTAAAATACATTAGATTATACATGCAGTAATGTCAGTCAAAATGTGTACTGAATCTCAATTAACTCCATGTATCAGTTGAAAATTCTCTATATAAATGTCATAAGGTTGTATTCCAAATGCAGAGCATTGAAGGTCTAACACAATTTAGGAGTGCTTATGGACAACTCCTGTCAGAATATAGAAGATTTGGACGTTTTTATCAAGGCGAGATACATCAAACCACAGATTTCCATCGTGTTCTCAAACATTTCTTTGAGGAAGAAAGGTAAAAATTGATAAATACGTTATGGCTTTGTTATAATTTAAACGAATTTGTATAGCTATTTGTTAGGACATGCATTCATAAAGCAGTATAAATTTCTAATCCATACAAATACAACTCCTTGTTGCTCCATAAGAAAAGAAAACTAAAAATAGCCTCATATAAAGTGAATGTTTTTAATTCAATCGAACAAAAAAATATACGGAGAACAATCGGATTTAATGCCATGCATGTTTCTATGTGTCCTATGAATCACCAAAAATCTTCGTCGCTCAAATTTTTGCTATTCGTCGCCAGTCATTTACGTTTTCTAATAAACTTCCTTTAATGCACAGGAGGTGTATTAAAAAATATCGAGTATTTCCAAGAACATCCAGTGGATGTTATCATTGATTTGCAAAGAAATAAAGATGAACTAAACGCGTTAGGTGATTATCTTAAAATACCAATACTTTCAATGGTACCCCAATGGCAACCTCAAGGAAAATACATCATTTCCATGTATCCGAGCATTGAAACTATAAACTGGGCAATCGTCGATGTTCTTCTGCGTTATGAAATCACAGAAAGTATTCTACTGTTTGATGGTAAGGTTAATCCTTTTTCATAACCTTTAAGGAGAAATTATTGTCTCACCAGGATATGCATATCGTATGAAAAATACAGGTTGTATAAAAAATTCAATAACAAGCCGAACATATCGCTGCATGTTGTAGATGTAGTTCGGGTGCAGTCTTTAGAAAGACTGCTGGTGGTTTGTTGAGTCAAGTTTGACGCTAAACAGTTGAGAGGACTCATCTTCAGAGTTTGATCTGACTTGACTCTGTGCGGAGTGAAGATCACTACAGCTAAGGTTGCCGTAACGTCAGTCAACACTGACACCAACAGTCCTTCTCAGGACGGCACTCACCAAAACGATCAAGCTGTGTATGGGTTGCATGAAACACTGATATTTTATCAAACATGTTTCAATAGAAAATACTCGAGCCTTGTCATTTCTCGCCGTGTTTCTTTTTTCATGTAAACAGCGAAGCGAAGTCGTCAAGCAATGAACCTGCACACAGCAAGTCAGCGGGAGTACATCAAAATAGAAATGATGCCAGAACTAGACATGGACAACGAGCCCGTGATTAAAGATGCAATTCGCCAAGCTTGGAACACTCAAATAAAAACCGTAGTCCTTCTTTGCGATACCCATGACATAAAGAAAGTCATGAATGCAGTAAGTGCCACTGTAAAATAAACGATTTATTCAAGATCTATATGTTGAGCATTCCACTTATAATTACGTAAGAAGAGATTCATATAGATATCCTACGATCCCTCTATGTTAACAAATTGGTTAAGACTTGAAATCATCCTTTCTAAACCTAGCTCTCGAGCCACACCATGCAATAAACAACATGTACATCTTTAGTACAACTCTATCTGTCTATATACAGACATTACAAACTAGACTCTATGATAAGGACAGTGAGGATTGGAAATGGATAGCGAGTGACATTGATTTCAGAAGACCTGACTACGAACCACTTGAAGGAATAGTCGCTTTCCGACTTTCTTTACCAGAATGGCAAAAGAGCTTCCGACAAGAAAGACAACGAATATGTGCAAAAGAATTATACACGGAGGTGAGAGCTGAACATCGATAGATCAAGTTTTACCTACATTTGAGAGATCTCTAGAATGAAGCGCAAAAAGACTCCCGACTAAATCTCCACGAGAACGTGAGATCCCGTTAAGTACATAAAAACCTCCTTGCCACGAAATCTTTACAAGATCCTGAGAGTTCGCAAATCGAAATCTTCTAGGTATTTTACGCCTCGATAAAAGACGCTCTGTATCTGATCAATGCTGCAATGCAAGTTCAACATCGCAACATGACGTTCATGGAAAAAATGAAAAAAGTAAGGTTCAAATATTGAAGTAGTTCACTTATCGTAGCTGACGTCAAACGAACCTTGATTCGTTCAGAGACGTAGCTGGATCAATAATTCGAGGGTGTTAATGTAACCACCCCCTCCAAATTATCAAGCTTGCTAAGTCAATGGTTTTATTAGTATTTCAAGTCGTCCTCAGACCCCAGTCTTCATTTACTCGCATATATGCTAAAAATGCTTTCTTTTCAGAGTATTCTACGACCGTGTCAGAAGAACAGGGTGAGTAAAATTACTGCTTAATGTATTTGAACATAAGCAAATATTGGTTTGTTTTTAAATAATGATGCATTGTTTCCAATC